GTTATGCATCGCGAACGCGGAAGTAAGGTGGCGTTCGCGAAGAAGGAAAATAGAAGTTGCCAAAAATGCCCTTCGCGATCGCGAGGGGGAGAATGAGAACGCGAAGGCCTGGGATCATGAAGCTAAGCGAACGCGAAGTCTGGAACGCGATCGCGATGAAGAAAAATAGCGAGGTTCAGGAGTTACCCTACGCGAACGCGTGACAGCTTACGCGAACGCGATGGGGAAGTAAGCTGGGCTTCGCGAACGCGGGAGGGATTATGCGAACGCGAAGAGGAAAATTCCAGGTGGTCAATTTAAGCCTTCGCGATTGCGAAGGGCAGCCCCCGAACGCGATAGAGGCATACCAGAAGCACCAACAGCAGTTCAAAAATAGGAAGAAATGGCCCGTTGAGCATCCGAAACACACACGAGGCCCCCGGGACCCCAACCAAACCTACGGACATGTCCCATAACATCATTCAAACTTTTACCAACCTTTAAACCACCTAAACAACGTCGGAAACTCGAATTGAACAATGATTTAAGCCTAAGGACTTCAAATTCTAACAAAACACGCTTTCGGTCATAAACCTACCCAAACCTCGTCCAAATGACCTGAAATTTTACACACACATCCCAAAAGACATGACGGAGCTACTGCAACTTCCGAAATTCCATTCCGACCCTCGGATCAAAATCTCACTATTGAACCGGAAACTTCAAAATTCCAACTTTCGGCAATCCAAGCCTAAATTAGCTACGGACCTCCCAAACACATTCCGATCATGCTCCCAACCCTGAAATCACCTAACGAAGCTAACGGAACCATCGGATTTCCGTTCCGAGGCCGTCTTCACACTGTTCCAACTACGGGCAACTTTCCAACACTTAAGCTCTCATTTAGGGACTAAGTGTCCCAAAACTCTCCGGAACTCAAAACCGAAAATCCCAGCAATTCAAATTAGCATAAATAGACTTGGGGAAAGCGGTTAATAGGGGATCGGGGCGTTAATTCTTAAGACGACCGGCCGGATCGTCACATTAACTTTCCATTTAGTTCACATATATCAGAATGTACTAAGTATAACAATTCACTAAATATTTCAGTTTTACGAAAAGGTTTCTTAGTCATTTTTGCTTGTATACATATTTCACATTTTTTCACATAACCATGCTTGCAAGAAATATAGCCATTTTTGGACATATAATTTAACGAACCAAAATTCAAGTGTCCTAATCTTGCATGCCATAAAGAAGAATTATATAAGTAGAAACTTAGTTTATTGCATTAATACTAAGTTTGAACATGTCATCACATGTATAGCCCTTTCCAACAAATAAACCATTCTTATATACTATTACATGATCAGATTCTATGACTATCTTGAAGCCTCTCTTAGACAGCAAACTAGCAGACAATCAAGTTCTTCTTCATGTCCGGAACATGGCACAGATTTAGCAATGTTAGCTTCTGCCCAGAAGTGAAATTGATCTCAACACTTCCCTTTCCTGCAACATCTGCAGTCATATGATTTCTCATGAGAACTTTCTCGGGTTCCTTAACTTCTGCATATGTCTTGAACATATTTTTCTCATAACAGACATGAACGGTGGCACCCGAATCCAACCACCAGTCTTGAATCTTAACAGCAGCAGCGGCCATGTTTAATTCTGTAACCATGTTACATGGTACTACAGAAACCATTGCAACCAAGCCTTGTGAAGAACTTTCAACTGTGTTTGCTTTTGCTTTCTCAGACTTTCCCGAATTTCCATGGTTAAAGTCAATTCCTTCTTTCTTAAACCTGCAATCACGGATCTTGTGGCCTTTCTTTCCACAATGATGACATTTCAAAGAATTCCTCTTTTTAAATTGAGGCTTATTTAAAACTTTTAGATTTTGTTTCCATCTCCGTTATTATTCTGACTAACATTATTAACTGTGAAACTTGAAGGTTGCATAAAAGAATCACGAATTCGAGTCTCACTTTCAATTTGACGGTGAGTTCGAAACTGTTCCACAGTCAATTTCTCAGAAGAATGCAGGATTTTCTTTCTATAGTCATTCCAAGAAGAAAGCAGTTTAGAAAGTATAGCACCGATTTGAAGTGCATCAAGAATTTTAACTTCATTGAAACTAAGATTTGCAGTTCATGAATCTGATCCATAATAGGCTTTGTATCAACCATTTTAAATTCGAAGTACTTCAAAGATAGAAATCTATCAATACCTCGTTTCTCGTTTTCATAAGCACTTTGCAATGCCATCCAGATTTCCCTTAGACACTTCAAATTTTAATACAAATCATAGAGACGATCTGTTAATGTATTAAGAATATGTCCCCAACACAGCAGTTCATCATCTTCCCATTTCTTCCTCATTGCTTTCACTTCATCAGAATCCTCTATAGTGGGTTCTGGCAAAGCAGGCAATTGCGGATCAAGAACATAAAAAATATTCAGAGCAGTCAGTAGGAAAATCATCTTGTCCTTCTAGCGAGTAAATTTTGATCCATCAAAACGGTCTAGTTTGATGAACTCTTTTGGATTTTCAACAGCGGACAAAATGTTCTCCATAGCAGATTATTTTCTTTAAGATTGTTATATAAAAAATAATAATCAAAAACGAAATTGAAGAAGGCTTGAGGCGTGAGAACGACTTTCCTTAAAGAAGATATTGCCCGTATACAAATTGGGGAAATACAAACAATCTTCTTCAGGATACAACAAGCCAAAAATATACTTGCAAATTTTTCTATATCCACTTTGTTGGAAGAACTTCTATTTATAGAGCAGCCATTGGACCTTTTCAAAAAAGATGTGTACTTTCACAAACAGACGCATCTGTTTATTCAAATAAATTTAAAATTTAAATTTCAAATAAAACAGATTTAATTGTAGAAATAAATGAAAATAAATTATTTATTTTAGGTCCGACCCGACCCGCGCCCAAGTCCATATCCAAGTCTTTGATTACATATATATATATA